CCAAGCACTAACCCAGTGTGCCCCAGCATGGTGGCATGGTGCAGCGGCCCCCGCCCGTGGCTGTCCCTCTGATTGACATTGGCACCGTTCTGCAGCAGGAACTCACAGCCCAGCAGCGAATTCTATAAGCAGTAGAAGGGGGGAGATCACTATCAGGGTGATGGGTGACCCCGCTCCCCCTCAACTGGGATCCCAATAAGGTGAAACCCCACCCCCCCCCCCCCCCCCCCCTTACCACAGCCACAGCCTGCAGGAGGGGTGTGCGGTGCTCTTCGGCCACGTTGGCCCAACCAGGGTCTGCACCGTGGGCCAAAGCATCAGCCATGGCTGGGAGACGCCGGTGCTGAGCCCCCCAATAGAGGAGAGCCCCGGGATGAAGGCTGGGGGGCGGCTCGGGCTCTGCAAGGGAGGGAGAAATGGGGATGAAATGGGGGCCAGGCCACACCCACACCTCGCTGGCCACGCCCACAACGCTTCAGCCACGCCCACTGAGCCATCAGGCCACGCCCACTTTTCGAGAGGCCACGTGCAGAACTTGGCTGCACCCGTGATGTCAATAGGCCACGCCCACCGACAAGAGGCCACGCCCGCTGTGCCCGGAGGCCACGCCCACAATCCATAGCCACGCCCACTTTTGTCTAGAAGCTGTGTGCTGAGCCTGGCCACGCCCACTATGCCCATACGCCACACCCGCTGTCAATAGGCCACGCCCACTGCGCCCTCAGGCCACGCCCACTTTGCAAATAGACCGCATGCAGAACCTGGCCACGCCCACTATGTCCACAGGCCACGCCCACAAACCCGTAGCCCCGCCCACTTTGCCTATAGGCCTCGTGCACAACCTTGTCACACCCACTATTAGGCCACGCCCACTGCCATTAGGCCACGCCCACACTAGCCACAAAACCACGCCCACAAACAACGGCCACGCCCGCTTTGCCTGGTGGCCATATGCAGAACCCAGCCACGCCCACCGTGCCCACAGGCCACGCCCGCTTTGTCCAGGAACCATATGCAAAACCTGGCCACGCCCACTACGTCCATAGGCCACGCCCACAACCAATAACCACGCTCACTTTCCCTACAGGCTGCAAGCAGAACCTGGCCACGCCCACTGTGTTTATGAGCCACTCCCACAACCCCTGGCCACGCCCACTTTGCCAATAGACCACGGGCAGAAGCTGGCCACGCCCACTATGCCCATAGGCCACGCCCACAACCCGTAGCCACACCCACATCCCCTACAGGCCGCCTGCCGAACTTGGCCACGCCCACAGTCTGCATAGGCCACGCCCACTTTCATTTGGCCACGCCCACTTCTCATACTCCTCTTGACCTGTAGCTCCACCCACCTATTTGAACGCCACGCCCACTTCCCCAGTCGCCCCGCCCACCGCCTCTCCAAGCCCCGCCCCTCCATCCTTTTCAGCCAATACCTGTCGCCTGCGAGCCGCGGGGGGCGGGGCTTACTCGGGAGACGTGGCGGGGTGGGCGGGGCTTTTTAGGCCACGCCCCCGGAAGTCGGGTGACGAATTTCTTCTCCACGTATTTGGCTCTGATCCAATCCTCACGCTGCAGCCTATTGGGGGGGGGGGGG